TTGAAATAGCGTAAAATGTTTTTTTTAGTACAGTTCAAATGATTGCCCATAAACAACAATTCACAGTCGCTGAGCAGATAAATTTTTTTTCTGGAGAAAAGTATGTTAAAGAATAGAATAAGAAAAATTGAAGAATATGCTAAAAGCAGCAATTAAAGAAAACTAAAAGTTAAAATTGTTACTTTTTTTAAAATTGCAATATCATTGTTTCGAAAAGTGGCAGTTTTGATTAAATGATCTTGAACACTGACGTTTATATATGGTGATGATAACGGCTCTTCATCGCTTTCATTAAAGATATAAACAACCTTAAGGTAAACAGATATTTGTACATTTATTGAGATATATGATCAACCTTTGGCTTCTAAATGGTAACTTTGGCTATAACATTCTCAGTTTTCAACTGTAAATTAGTTGCACCTATCAAAATCAATGCAGTATTTGAATTTATAATATTCCAACAACAACAACACTAAAATAAAGACTGAAATTTTATCAGAGAAATGCTTACATGTATACCTAAAATATACTGTGAAAAATAGTAAAAAAACTGTTCATTTTTAATAATACAAAACGTAGAAGATAAACTGTTGTTTGCAAAAAAACAAATTTTGGTATTTTTCTTTCTATCTAAAAATGAGTAAAAAAAAAAACAAGCAAAAACAGATGTTACGTCATCACAGATAATTAAATTTTTGTCGTCATGACATTCGCAACCGGCTTCAAGGGTATCATCAGATTCCTTTCCACACATGTGTACCGCCTGCTCTACATCAGCACAGTTCCCAAGTAACACCTGCAACAGCAGTAATTCCGCAACCGTAGCCAAGATCATAATAGACACCTAAAAGTTTTGCATTAAATTAAATTGACTATGTCATAAACAAAAAGTATTTTGACAATGCTCAATACACCGTACTTCGTTCTACCAAATCTGTGAAAAGTTATCTAATAATTTATTTTAAGAAAAAGTTTGACAAAACCTTTAAAAAACTTTCTGTTTTTATTAAAAAAAGAAAGAAAAGAGAGAGCGTCAAGAAACCCTTAAATAAAGTCTTTTTTACCAATTCTTCACCGTAAATTTAACTATAAAATTATACATTCAAATGCTGTTCAGAATTCGTGGTTGATATTCGACTGTAATTCTTACTACTTACAAAAGATAACTATTCATTTACAGAAGATAACTATTCATCTCTCCAACACTTTTAAAAGTTGTCGGTAATTCATAAAACCCTGAAAAATCTGATGGTTTTTGAGCTGCTAAGAGGCCTTCCTATGTACTAGATTTTTTCAACAGCTTTTTCAGCCTGACGTGCTCAAAATTAGAGCAGTTCTTTGTTTGAGAAAAGTAAATGGTTCATAAGAATAAAATAAAAAAAACTGCGTAATATGGGTGTGCAAAACTTGATTTTACCCAAAGTTCCGCTGTTAAGTTAAACGTTTTCTATACTTTTTAACGTGTCGCTTTTTTTTGCAAAAAAAGTTTAATCATGTACACTACCAAATCGTCTCTGTCTTTTCCTACATCTGCTTTCAACATTACTGAGTCGCGATTAAACGAAAGCCATGTGTATACAATTTACTGCTACTAAGATTTTTACCTTAGAAGAGATAGTGATCTGGAGAACTTCCTCAGTTGTTCCCCTCAAAATGGTCCTATTATGTGTTAAAACTTCTCTGACCTATCTTGAATCTCAGGCTATTTAACAATCTTAATGCCTTTATTACTATTCTTTTAACGCTATAAACTTCTCTTGACATTCTCTGCCACACCTTAGCAACAAACATAGTTCAAATGAAGAATCACCGACCTAGGTGAGGAGCCTAAAGAGTAACTGTAGACATTTATCAAATTATTAAAAAAAAAAGCGAATAAACTTTAAAATTGATACAACTAATTTTAAAAAGCAGTAGAAGAAGACAAATAACAAATAAAGATTTCCAGCGTTACAAGAAAAAATTGGCATTTGTTGTCGATAAAAAGGAATGATCAAAGAAAATCTCTTTAGATAATCAACTGATGAGAAGAATAACAAGTGCAAACAGTAACGGTTTACATGCTGACTGTGTAGCGGTCTTATATTTAGAACAGTCTAAAGGTTTGCCTTCGCTTTACTCACTTTATCAAAGCATGACCTGTCATTATGTTCTGAAATAAAATAGTTTTTAAGCGTAACTTTCACAATCAGTCTAAGAAAACAATCTTTATTTTAGAAGAGGAAAAAACTTGCACAAAATAAGCAGTACAAAATGTTGAAGTTAGAGCAGAAAACACGATTAAACAAAAATTCAAATATATTTTGTGTTAAGACAGACTGAATTTCAGTTAAAAATTGCTAGTCGACCATAATTCATGCTGGACTGTTTAAGATTTTAAGAGAATGAAATTTATCAACTAAATATAACA